TTGCTCCTTTGTTTTTTTGCTTTTATAATCCACGTGTAAGAGAGATTATATGCATCCATCTTTCTCTGTCTGACTTATTTTACTAAAACATAATGCCGTCAACTCCATCCATGTTGTTGCAGATGACAAGACTTGATTCTTTTGGATAAATCGGTCAATATTCCAGTGTTGCTATTGTTCATTCACTAAGTCATGTCCAACTGTTTGCGACCCTGTGAACTACAGCATGCCAGACTCCTCTGTCCTCCACTATCTTCCAGAGTCTGCTCAAATTCACGTCCAGTGAGTCGATGATGCCATCTAACCATCTCATCCTCTGTCACCCCCTTCTCCTCTTGCTTCAAAGTTTCCCAGCATCACGGGCTTTTCCAGTGAATCGTCTCTTTGCATCAGGTGGCCAAAGTATTGGAGCTTCAGCTTCAGCATCAGTCCTTCCAATGAATATTCAGGGTTGATTTCCTTTAGGATTGACTGGTTTGATCTCCTTGCAGTCCAAGGGACTCTCAAGAATCTTTTCCAACACCACAATTGGAAAACAAATATATATTTATATACCATGTCCTCTTTATCCATTGATGGACACTTAGATTATTTCACTCTCTTGGTTACTGTAAATAATACTGCAATGAACATGGGTGTGCACATATTTTTTTCCAGTTAGTGTTTTTATTTTCTTTGGATAAACACCCAGAATTAGAATTGCTGGATCATATGGTAGTTCTATTTTTTATTTTTTTCAGAAAACTCTCCTGTTTTCTATAGTGGCTGCAATAATTTACATTCCCGCCACCAGTACACAAAGGCCCCCTTTTCTCCACATCCTCACCAACACTTTTTATTGTCATCTTTTAGGTAATCACTCTTCTAACATTTGTGAGAAAATATCTCTTTGTAGTTTTGATTTTTATTTCCCTAATGATTCATGATGCAGAGCATGTTTCGTGTCCCTGCTGGCCGTCTCTATGTGTTCTTTAGAGGACTGTCTATTCAGATCTCCTGCCCACTTCGTGTGAGGTTGCTGTTGTGCTTTCTGGTTGTATGAGTTCTTTCTGTGTTTTGAGTACTGTGTGCTCAGTCACTCTTGTGCAACCCTATGACGTGTAGCCCCCCCGGGCTCCTCTGTCCTTGGGATTTTCCAGGCGAGAATACTGGAGTGGGTTGCCATTTCCATCTCCAGCCCCTTATCAGATAGACAATTTGCAAATGATTTCTCCCGTTTGCTTTTTCACTTTATTGCTGGTTTCCTTCTCTCTGCAGAAGCTTTTTACTTTGATGTAGTCCCATTTGTTTATTTTTGTATCTGTTACTTTGCTTTTGGTGTCAGATTAAAAGATCAGTGCCAAGGCTGGTATGAAGTAGTTATTGCCTATGAATCCTGAGGCTTTGTTCTTAATCCTAATACTTCTAGGCTTTAGACAAGTGTGATGTAGCTTCAGAGTCTATAACAACATCAAAATCCTCTCTGGAATTTCCCAGTATAGGGATTGCCTATGATTATCTTTGATTTGAATTGTAGTTTAGATTTTACCAAGAGATGAGACCACATTATCTTGTGTAATCCTCCCCTGGTGAAGACAGAACAGGCACTATTTTCCTCAGTCACAGACATGTTCAAGTTATTTAAATTTACTCCTGCACATGACTCACAATTTGTGGAATGAACTAGAACCCAAGGCCTTGATTTTTTTTTCCTCCAAAGTGATCAGCTTCTCCTATTCTGCTTCCTATTATATGATTTTCTTTTATAAATCAAAGATAACATAAGACTTAAATGTGCAACATTTATTTGGAGACCAATTTATAATTTTAGAAAATTCAATAGAATGCCTAGATAGTTAATATATAATAGTGCTACCAGTTATATGAATTATATAAATTTTTTAAATGGTGTAACTGTGTGAATAATAAAGAAGTAACTTCAGTATATCACAATAGAGATTATTTATTCAAAACTTTGTGCCACTAAGGTGAAATGAACATATTTTTGAGAAACAGAAAACAAACTACTAAAATCTAATGTAGAAGTCAATTTATTTTTCAGCATGGAATGCCTTCTTCAAATACACCAGGGTCTTGTATCTTAAGATCCATAAAATCTATTTAATTGAGTACTTCTGCATATATACATATGATATAATAACACATGGGTGGCTTTATTTTTTGTTAATTTGCATTTATTCTTTTATTCATTAATTCAACACATAGTTATTGACTCTGCTACACTCTATTTTAAATGGTATGGTAATGAGACTACGCGTGGTTTCTACCTTCATGAAGCTACAGCCTGGACTGCAATAGTTCATTAGTCAAATAATCCCATCAGAAAATAAAACATTACAACAAAGGATAAGTCGAGAGAGTGACAGAGAGTAGCTGAAACTATGAGAACATATAGCAGTATCAGTAACCTAAGCTAAAGAATCAAGGCTTTCCTGAAGAAGAGAAGCTGAAAGCTGGCATAAGAATCGTGAATAACAGGTAACTTGGGTAGGGTGCAGAAGACATTCCAAGTAGAGCTAACAGCGTTCACAAGGTTCTGTGGCAGAAGGGAGATTGCTGGTTTGAGGAGAGACCTTAGAGAGATTGTGGACAAGAGGAATCTTGAGTGGGAGAAGAGGCCAGAACTCTGATCCTGCCAGATTTCAGACTTCATCCTGAGAGCGAAGGAAGATATTGGAAGGTTCCTGTGGTTTTTTGTTTTGTTTTTGGTGTTTTGAGTGGCAAAAGCAGATCTGAATGTTACACACAACCTCCAAAAATGGCATCATGTGGACCTCAGCTGTTTCATTGGTGTCTGCATAATCTCTCAGCAGTGTTTCTGCCCTCCAACACCTGAGATTTATTTAATGAGTCATCTCACTCCTGTGATGTGCATATTCAAACCATGTAGGCAGATTAAAGCTCTTACAAAATGTGCAAATGCTTAGGGTTAAATAGAAAATTAGGAAAGGGAGATCTCATGTATTCTTTAAGATAGTAGCTGCTAGACTTCTTTACAGGGTAGACTAATGAAGACCATTCCTTTCTCTTCCTCCTAAATTGCAAACCAGTTGAAGTCATATGTGAGTCAGATGGAGATCAAATGCTGGCCCTATTGGTAAATCTGAATTGGAGAATACCACTTGCATCCAGATCACAACCGGGCTTCCCCACAGCGCTCCAGGAATTTATTTTACTCAGTCATACCCATAGACCATTCCATCCTCCTAAATCCACTGCAGCCTCCCACCAGCAGCCTGTAGTGTCAGATTCTGTTCTGATAAACTCACTGCACGGAGGAACAGGAACTCTCGTGGATCTTGCACAGGGAAATGGAAAGAAAGTAAAAGGGGATGAGGAACGGAGAATGTAGAATCACTCTTCTGTCAGATGTCACTCTTCCCTCCCAAACGAGGAGCTGGAAGGTATGAAGAAGCAGGCATCAAGGGTTCCTCCCACATTGTGCTTAGGAGTGTAGTAGGCATTCCTTCCCTATCACAGAAGTGTGTTAAGTCGCTTCAGTCGTGTCTGACTTTGTGACCCAGTGGACTGCAGCCTGCCAGGCTCCTCTGTCCATAGGATTCTCCAGGCAAGAATAATGGAGTGGGTTGCCACACTTTTCTCCAGGGGATCTTCCTGACCCAGGGATTCAACCTGAATGTCTTATTATGTCTCCTGTATTGGCAGCCGGGTCTTTACCATTAGCACCACCTGGCAAGAGATGGTAAATATATGTCCACGTTCCTCCATAGCTATTTATTTATTTGCTTTTTCTTTTATTACTGCTTTTTTCTATTAACTCTTTTTTTTACATAGATATTTAGCTATATTTTTATTTTTACTTATTTTGTTTCTTCATTGTCTTCCAAAGGATCTGGTCATTTCTACTCATTTTCCATGTAGATGTACATATGTATCAGTGCGTACATTTCAGGCAAAATTTATACACAGTATTCCAGGTGGTAAAGAATGATTGCTTTTTTCTTTTTGTTAATGTAGCTTCAAAATCACATATTCTTACATATGTAAGAATTATATACAAGCAACTCACAATGATTAAAACTCTACAGGGGATAGGGGGCAATAAACGCTTCTTCCCAAATGGAACTCATTTTAAAGTAAGACACTTGGTTTGGAAACGAGTGCATCTTGCTCTTCTCCGTTCCTTTCTGAGCGAGCGCGCGAGCACTGCCCCCGGTGAGCAGAAGCCTGGCCCTTCCCGGCCGCAGTGTCGCCCAGCCCGCAGGCTCCAGGGGCTGACTTTCTGCGCTGCGGCGGGCGCTCACTTGCGCTCTAACCTCAGGCGGAGGTCCGGGCGCTGGGAGGCCCTGCAGGACGTCGGGAGCGGAGGTGTGTGATGAGGCGGGGGCCGATTCCCGGGACGCCCTCCTCTTCCGTGGGTGCAGGGGGCAGTGGCTGAGTTCCTGGCTCCCCGGGCCAGAGCTGCGAATGTCGGCACTTTTCCAGACTGTGGTAGCCTCTGGCCCTGCAGTTCTAGGGATACAACAAGGGTTCGCTCGGATTGCCAGTCCTGCGGTGCTGTGCCTCGTGTTGAATTCCCCTCGTCTCCATTCACCCTTGTCCTTCCTTAACTTCAACTCTGACAGCATCCTCGAGTTCTGTTTCCTGCCGTGACCTTGCTTGTTGCAGGAAGTCGTGGTCATAAAGGTGATGAATTCCGTGTAAAATCAAAGCCCAGAATACTTAACGGCATTATGGTATGTTCGGGGGAGAGCTGATGAGTCAGAATCTCTGGATAAATACAGAAGGTGCCACCCAGTTGAGAGATAGGTGATATTATTTCTCTGTTGAATTGTATACTGCTTAAAATAACATAATCATAACTAGAATACTAAAAATAAAACAATTTCACTGGTATAAAGTAAAATGGAAATCACTCAGTTGTGTCCAACTCTTTGTGATACCGTGGACTGTAGCCTGCCAGGCTCCTCTGTCCATGGAATTCTCCAGGCGAGAATTCTGGAGTGGTTGCCATGCCCTTCTTCAGCGGGTCTTCTGGGTCCAGGAAGCAGACCCGAGGCTCCCACACTGCAGGCAGATTCTTAACTGTCTGAGCCGTCTTCGTAGGCTGAAAGCTATTTGCTTCATTCACCGCTGAGCAGCTAGATTTCACCCAAGCTATCCCCAGTTTTTCCTCGTTTCAATGACATCCAGAAAAAGACTCATGACACGTAAGAATTTAAGTCTCAGTTTTGCCTCTTATTCGCTGGGTGACTTTGGAATTGCCATTCAACTCATCCAAGTGTCAGGTTTCCCATGTACAAAAGGTTTCAAGAGTTGAATGAGATGTGTATAGAAAATGTATCACACTGTCTGACAAGTTTTAAGTGCTCACTTTTATGTTATTTTTACTAATGTACTATTATCATCATTATCATTATTACTGCTCAACAGCAGCCCATATTGATTCATGCTTTGATTTAATGATTTTATGATCCTGATTTGTTATTGGAGTTGGACAGGAAGCACATTTCACCTTCTGCCTAACAATGCTTCGTATATTCTGTTAATTCTTTACACTGTTGCTGAGGGCTAAGTTCATCTGCCAATTCTGTTATTAAAGGAAACATCAATTGGAATTGAGCCTGAGCCTGCCTGTTCTAGAATATTGTTTTTAAATTTTTCCTTGTAGGAGAGTGACGATTTCTACAGTGAAGTCTTTACTTTGTCTGGCTCAGTTGGCAGTGTAAAGGCCCCCAGGGCACACATTGTATCTGCAACATTCCCTGCTACTTCTCAGCATGTAGTGATCTCCTATGTTCACGGACCAGAAGCAGGTGGGGCAGGTGGTCAAGGGGACTGGCTTTCTGCGCTGCTTTCTCCCTCTGAGGGTCAAAGCAGAGACAGGCAAAGCCTGGTCACACTCCCCTGACTGCCCTTGACCAGAGCTGGCCTCCTCTCTGCTAACTTTCCCCATCCAGCTGACATTTATGAATGACACTAGAGGAAAAAAAAATAGCCACAACTTTCCTCCTTTCATCCTAGAAAGACTTGTCTTCAGTCCTTTCCTTTGATACCCATCTGCTGAAGGACAGCGACTGAATCATCCGTGTCGTCTGCAGAACTCGTGTGGAGTTTGGCGTTTGCTACTTCGTCACACGGGGCCATCTCTGCCTGAAGGGCTTTCCATCACCCTCTCGAGTACGTGAGAGCCTCCTGTCTTCTCCTGCCGCCTCCTGTGTAGCCACGCCCATGCGCTGATCACCCTTGGTTTGAACTGTCTTCCATATATTATATGAGCTCCTGGAGAATCGAAACCGTGTCTGTCATAGATCATAGACACCACCGGCATAGCTCACCTGCCCAGATCACTTTGCTAATCTGTAAAACTCAGATGTTAGTAAGAGTAAATCTCCCATGGGTTGTTCTGAGGATTAAATAATAATTATACACGAGAGGCTTAAAACAGTGCCTGACACATGGTAAGTATGCATGAGTGTTCAACTTATTATTAAATTATTCAATCTTATAATGTTGATAGTATTTCAAACCTCAGTTTATAGAAGAGAGAATTGAGGCATGGAGAAGTTAGGCAATTTTCCCAAAGGTTATGAAGCTAGTAGGAAATAATGTGTAAATGATTGGGAATATCTGAAACCATCATGTTTACAAACAGACTATTATTTTTATTGGAATGGTCTACACTGTGTTTGTGTCAATAATACACAATTTTTAAAGGAAACCCTGATGTTTAGAGAAAATACTTGAAGTTCTTAGGGACTACCTAAAGTATACTTTTCTTTTTTATAGAGAATAGACTTCTCTTGGTAAATTGTATCCTTAATCTGAACGTTGACAACCTTCGAAATTCCCTTGAGATATAGAATCTATATACAAAAATAGAACAAGAATAAAGCAACATAAGCCTTCTGACAGTTCCATATAACAGCAACCTGTTTCCTATTCTTTGTTCATTGTACCTAAACCTGGGGCGAGTGTATTTTTTATCCATTAAAGCAAGTTTAACCGTAATGAAATCAGGGATTGACAGATTCAAATGTTGTACAGATTGCGGAAGTGGTAAACACACCTGGTGAAACTGCAATGCCACACAGCGTTGAGATGAATTAGGAAGCTCCTCGAAAAGGAACAAATTACTTTTGTGACTATTAGATTTACAGAACTAGAAACACTCTGTATTGAAATGAAAGATAAAAATGGTAAAAGAATTGATCTTTAATCAAATATTTGACGCTTTGAAAGATACTGAAAAGGCAGAAAGTATTCAAGCAGGCCAAAAAGCTCATAAAGAATCCAGATCAGAATAGTGTAAAGACAACAACTTAAATGAATGATAAGGAAAACACACATTTCTTTTTTACTTTCCCTTTAGAAAGAATTATATAAGGTAAGTACCTAAATTAACTTGCTTTTAAAACACGAGAAAACAAAAACCAAAACAAATAAAACAGTAACTAAGCCTGTGTCTTTTTATTTAAGTTTTAGATCTTTTGAAGAGTGACAGTATAGTATAAGCTGTCACCTAGTAATATGAGATTCATAATAAAATTCGAGTTCCCTGTGCCCTCCTCCACTGTGATCCGATGGACTCTAGCCCACCATGCTCCTCTGTCCATGGGATTTCAGGGGCAGGAATACTAGAGTGGGTTGCCATTTCCTTCTCGAGGGAATCTTCCCAACCCAGGGATCAGAGCCAGATATCCTGCATTGGCAGGTGGGTTCTCTACTGCTGAGCCACCAGAGAAACCCCTTTAGCCCCTCAGAGACAACCACTTTCTATTTATTTCCTTGTTTATTTCATCATTTAACTCCATGAAAAGTGAATGTGAAAGTGAATTCCAGTCATGGAGTTCTTGTTTCTAGATAAACATATAATACTATTTTATTTAAATATCAAATTAAATTTAATAGGTATAAATAATAATGTATGTCCCAAGTTAGAAGTGAAACACACCAACCACAGTTGAACTACCCTTCCCCAGAGGAAACCACGACCCTGAATTTGTCATTTATTATTTTTATTAAGCTATCATTGTAATAGCTCCATCTGTTTATTTTGTCATGTTTTAGACAGTAAAGTTAATAGAAAGAAAGTCGTTTCTTCTGCTATAGAAGGGTAAACATTGTTGAATTCTTTTGTTCTGTAAATTGAGTGGCATGTTATGGCCTTTTCGTTCTCTAGCTATGCAGCTACCTTGGAAACCTGAGATTCCTCGTGACTCCTCCGATCAGACAGGCAGGCACCCTGCTGGGCAGGCTGGGTCTATAGCTGAACAGGCAACAAGGTGAAAAGAGGGAGGCAGAAAAGTGGGTTTGAGTCTCTGCTCCACCACTGAATTTTTTGACAGTTTTGGCCCTGCAAAAAATAAAGACAAGATCTTGAGAAATCAGTCATCAAGAATAGGAAGGAATGTTTGAGCAATATGAAAGAGCCTTTTAGTCTAGAAATTGTTGTTTCCGAAAGTGCTATTTCTAAATCATTTAACACTTAAGTGATCACTTAAGACTCACCTGCGTGTTTTTTTTTTTTTTAAATAGGTGTCACTAGAGATCTACTGAATCAGGATTACTATGGTTGCAACCTAGAAATTTGCATTTTTATCTAGCACACCTCCTCATATCTTTCTGGTAAAATAAAAGCCTGAAAGGTGGTTAGAATACAATGCTATCCAATATTGAACTATTTATTCATTATGCACACACCCAGAGATACTGAAGAGGTTTCCATCTTGGACCCTAGCTTTCAGAGCAGTCATTCTAATTTCATTTCTGGAGTTACTGGCTAGAATCAATATGTTATTCCATCAACAGACAGAGAGAAACAGAGAATCACAGAAAGAGAAGAGGAGGGAAAAGAAGAGATTGGTTCATTCCAAGAAAAAAATGTTAATAAAAAATTAAAATTAAAAATATATGTAGTTAATTTTAGTATACCTTTTTCATGTATTAAGAACATTAAAATAATTTTACCAGTGGAGTACAAAACTGAATTTTTTACTCCTCCTAACATAATACTGAAAATATTTAAGCTGCATACTTATAGGTAAAATTCCATTTTGTTCAAATGTAGCTCTGTCATCACTGTTTGAGAAAATAAGATAAAGGCTGTGATATATACAGTATCTCAAATAAATAAAATAAAAACCAAAATTTAAGCCTTGACCAAGTCAGTAGTGGTAAATGTCATAGGTAATTTTATACAAATTTTATTACAGATAAATCCCTTCCTGGAGTTGAATGCTTTGCATCGACATTTCCAGGCTTAAGGTACTTGCTAATTATAGCGTTCTGAATTGATTTTCCGTAAATATCCGCTTAATATGTTGTAACATTGATTGAAGCAATTATAGAAAGCCTTGAGAATCAGAGATAGGGCTGGTGTAGGGGAAACAGGGTAGGATAGACGGTCTTTCCCTAGCCTGTGTATGAGACAGGCCGCATAGCGGCTGGAGGATAGCTGGGGTTAGTGAGCACTGACCAGCTCTTGGAGCAGGTGTTTGGAATCCAGAATAATCACTTAAATGTGCATATCTGAGTTTGTCATTATGACTGGCATCTCTGCTGCCCAGTGGAGGAACACTGGACAAACACAGAGAATTTGTGACCAAATTTATAAATTTGCAAGCAAAATCAATTTTTTCAGGGTGTTTGCATGGAACCACCTAGCACAGATGGCTCGATTGGACTTGGAAACCACACTCTTTTCTGTCCATTATGCTTGAGAGTCTGAATATTCCCAATTGGTAGGTGCTGAAAATGGTGTGTACTAATAAGATCTCTAGATCCTGAAGATGAGCTTTGAATATTAAGAGATTTTAATGGCAAAGTTAAAGTGAAAGCGCCTCAGGAATTCCTCCATGAGAAAGAATGCCATTAATAAGCAGCATACTGATCCCAAATTTTGGGGTCTCTGCTGACAGAGTCCTGAGACATCCTATATTTTTCTGTAGATTTCTGCCAGACACTGGGTCTCTTCACATCACTAAAGAACTTCTTTTAGAAATGCTTAAGGAGAAGTTAATTTGTAACCTCTACTCAAGTCCCTTGTAAACAATGCTTCTTGGAACACAATTTTGTGGTCCAGATGATGTGAGATGGTGAAATCAGTCCTAAGCAGTACCATTCATTTGGTAATAACTATATGGTGTATAATCAAACCAGTCAATCCTAAAGGAAATCAATCCTGAATATTCACTGGAAAGACAGATGCTGAAACTGAAGCTCCAGTACTTTGGCCACCTGATGCAAAGAGCCAACTCATTAGAAAATACCCTGATGCTGGGAAAGATTGAGGGCAGGAGGAGGAGGGGACGACAGAAGATGAGATGGTTGGATGGCATCACAGACTCAACGGACGTGAGTTTAAGCGAGCTCCGGGAAATGGTGAAGGACAGGGAAACCTGGCGTGCTGCCTGCAGTCCATGGGGTTGCAAAAAGTCAGACGTGACTGAGCGACTAAACAGCATGTTAATTATATTCATTTCACCATAATTATTTCCTCAAATGTTATAAATCTTGTGTTTGTGTTATATCATTTGCTTTAAATTGATAAGTTGTTCAAATTTTATTTGAATAACATAGTTTCCCTAACTATATAGATTAGTCTTTGTAGGCAGAAAAAAAATGGCCTTAACCACTTTTTAATCAACTAAAATAAATATACTTTGCGTATCTTTAGTGATGATAATGATAATAACAGCAAATCTGCATCTGCGTGCATGCTGTTGTGTCCAACTCTTTGCGACCCTATGAACTGTAGCCAACCCGGCTCCCCTGTCCATGGGATTTTCCAGACTAGAATACTGTTGTGGGTTGCCATTTCCTCTTCTGGGGAATATTCCTGAAAGAGGGATTGAACTTGCATCTCCTGTGTCTCCTGCTTTGCAGGCAGATTCTTTACCACTGAGCCATCCAAATGTTAATATTTTACTATGTGCTGATGTAGCTCTAAATAGTTTATGTACTATTCATTCAATCACAGTAACAATCCAATGCCTTAGGTATAGCTATTACCTCCATTTTACCAATGTGAAAATTAATAACAGAAGTTATTCAACTTGCCCTAAGTAGTAGCTGTGAAATGGCAAGGCTGGGTTTTAAACCCAGTAAGTTCGGTTTCAGAATCTGTGTATTTAAATTAAAAATGTGCTGATTTATTTGACTAACTTTCCTACTTTATATAAAGAAAAAGAAACTATCAGTAATTCACTCATTGATTGTTTACTGAGGCTCTATGATATATGAGTCCCTGTGGCTATGCACAGAAGGATTAAAGTCACAACAGGATGGGACAAGTTCATTGCCCTATAGTTTACATTTTAAGGAGAGACGTAGGCAGTTAATATGCTAAGCTAGATTATGATGTGGGAATGGTGGACAGTGGTCATGCTTTCGATTTGTTAGCCAGGGAAGCCCTCTCTGAGGAGCTGGCAATGACAGCAGAAGAGAGAGAAAAAGCCAGACTTTCTAAGAGGAGAAAAAGTTGTTATCTCCCAGTTCTGGAGATGAGATTCCAAAATCAATAGGCCAGCAGGGCCTCCCTGGGGTTTCCCTCTGAAACCCAAGAGGAATAACTCTTCCCACCGCCTTCCAGATTCTGCTGTCCCAGCTGTTGTTTGGCTAATGGCACCATAGCTCCAGTCTCTGATCCATTTTCTCTTCCTTCTCCCTCTGCCTCTTCGAGTCATCTTTCCTCTGTGCGAGTCTATCTCTGTGTTTGAATTTTTCATTTTTATTGATAATGACACCCGTCTTACTGGAATAGAACCCATTACAATGACCCCATTTTAATTTGATTAGCTCTGTCAAGACCTCTTTCCAAACAAGGTCACATTCTGACGTTCTGGGGGCTAGGACGTCAACATCTCTCTTCTTGTTGGCTGGAAAGGAGGAGCACAGTGCAACCCATTACAGTTTCTAGAACTGAATAGCCAGCCACATTCTAAGTATGTCACGTATTTGTAGCAAGGATTGTCTGTGAATCTCCTTGTCACGTCAGGGGTACTGTCTCTTGGGAGACATTCACTGAGTCTATTTCCTCTTGCAGCATTCAAATATCAGTCTTGGTATTACAAAAGTTTCCCTTGGTAGGGAAAATTTTGAACGCCTTGTGCATAAAAATTACTTCCTGAACAACAAATTCAAGATGAAATTCAACACAAGAATGTTTCACTCATCATTCATTCACTTTGTATTCTTCGGATATGAAGAATATTGTCAGGAAAGTAAGGTTAGTAAAGGATAATGTCATAAAAGTTAAAAGATAAATCAAGTGAAAAATAATATACAAGTAGACATATAATAAATATTTGATAGACTGACCATGTTAGAACGTAATAATAGATAAAAGTGAAGTGCTACAAAGTTGAATTGGGAAGAGAATTTTTCTGACTAGGAAGGTAGCCTGGAGATGTGCGCTGAAAGATCTGCAGAGAGTGCTAACTGTCTATCAAAGATTCGTACTCCCCGCTCATCGCACCGACCTGCTGCTGAGGAATAGATGCTTGACGAGGGACCACACTTCTCAAACTCCCTGAAATTATGTGGGACCATATGACCAGTTCCCATCAGTGAAATGTAGGCAGAAGCAACGTGTGTGGCGTCTTTGGGATTAAGAAGAGATATGCTTTCTCTACTGTCTTTCTCTGCCTTCTGACTGGACACTGAGGTCAAAGCTGACCTTGAAAGACTGTGTTAGAGGTGGCCGTCATGAATGACTTTGTAGAGTGGACTGTCACACTCACCTCACAGCACGGGTGTGTCTCTGCATGCTAAGTCGTTTCATTCGTGTCTGATTCTGTGCGACCCTGTGGACTGTAGCCCACCAGGCTCCTCTGTCATGGGGATTCTCCAGGCAAGAATCCTGGAGTGGGTTGCCATGCCCTCCACCAGAGGATCTTTCTGACCCAGGGATCGAACCTGTGTCTCTGAGAGTTTCCTGCACTGGCAGGCGGGTTCTTTACCACCGGTGCTGCCTGGGAAGCCCTCATCACATGTCGCCCTCAGCCCACTAGTGACTGAGAGCACAAGCGTGGAACTAGTCTGTTGGTAAAACTTCACTGGTGTGTATTGCCAGGAATTCAAGGGTTTGTCTGTTTTAGATGCTAACATTATCCTAACACATGGATATCTCTGAACCTGTAAAGAGGATGGTAGAAAGGGGTTTCTCAGGAGGAGGAGAAATCACCGAAATAGGAAGGAGACCAATTTGACTGAAGCACATCTTCGGGGGTGTAATTGAAGATAAGCCTAAAAATTAGGTCTTGAACATATAATAGAAGCTTTTGAATGTCAGAATGGGTGTTCATATTTAATTCATAAGCAGTAGAGAGCTGTTCAAGGATTATGAGCAGGTTATAATGTATTCAAAGGCATTTTTAGAATGTTTTTTATATTTATTTAAGTATACCATGTCTCTTTGAAGAAAGGATTATAACAACTTTTGAGATATTAATATAACAGTGATGGATAAGAAGCGTTGGATTGAAGGAAAGAGTAAATAAGGAGCTCACATAAAAGACACCTTGGTCTAAACGTTCTACAAGTGTTTCTCAGGGTCAGATAATATTTCAGGTTTAGCAGGCCACAACTGCTCGACTCTGCCTTTATAATATGAAAGCAGTCATAGATTATACTTAAATGAATAGGCATGGCTATGTTCCAGTGAAACTTTATTTACTAAAACAGTTGAACAGCCTGTGGGATTTAGTTTGCCCACCCCTGGTCCAGATGCAAAGTAGCAAGATTTCAACTATGAGACCAGTGGATAGAAGGTGGAAGGACAAAGGAGGAAAGGAATGTAGCACATAGACAGCAATCAAACAGAACTCGCAGAGATAGTGGGTCACTTTCC